TCCAAGTAGCAGTTATCTTCATTTCAAATCAAAAAGTGTGCAAAGTCCAAACAGTTGCTTAACATTGCCAAGCATGGTTTTATCCTGCTCCGCCCCCTGCGAGGAGCAGCCAAGAGAGCAGCACATGTTTTGCTTGGGCACCTGCCACACCCGCAGGTGTGGAATTTACACACCAAACACACTGAGCATGACGAGATATTCATTAGCGGATAATAGGCAGCACTCAGATCTTAAATGAGAGAGAATGTTCTGGGCTGAGGCCTTGTACAACTGCCCCACGTAGGAGGGGATTTGGCATGGGAAGTGGAAAGTCAGAAGGAGAAGAGTCATCCTTTTCGACCCGAACTCTTAGGCATGGTTAGGTGCTACATGAGAGTACTGCTTGCAAATAGAAAGAAATATCAGAAGAATCAACAGAACAAAAGTGACACCTCGAAAATGACTATTCCAAGTGCCAAAATCAAACTTAAGAACTGCAGCTTAAGAGCAGTGAAATTCTATAGTATCAGATAAAAAGCTCTGAAAGAAGGGGAAAAGAAACAGATGCAGACAGGTGATAGAGGGCCTGTGAGTGAAAAAGTGGGAATATAATGTAGACTTTCCTACAATGCAGACTTTCCTGCTATTCTGGATTTCAGTAAGTACCTCTGGGACTTCAGGGAGAGATTTTTTTTTCTCAAGTGCTATTGCAAATATGTCCTGTGGGAAATTGGCCTTTACCAGGCTAGAGCAGTCCAGCCTCTTTAAACAGTCTTTCTGTAAATGTCTAATCCATTAACAAATTAATTTCTGATTTTTAGGCCATACTGATAGTGGACATACAGCATTCCCAGTAGAATACAGAAATTAGCCATTTCCTCTTGGAAATAAAATCTTGACTACTGTGAAAAACCTGTGCTTATGGCCTTCTCATACATGTCCTGTTTTGCTAAATTTTTGTCAGCTTTTTGGCTCAAGTTCTGGCCTCTGCTGGAACAGTGGCTTTTATATCTCAGTCTGTATTGATCTCTAAGACATTGGGGTTGGATATCCACCTACAGGTAGCCAATGGCCTAACTTTGTTCATACAGTGTAAATGCCCTAGTCAGACCTAGTCAGACAATGTACTTTCTCCTATAAACATTAAAATATATCTGGAATAACCCACTTTATGCAGAAAGTTGATTCTTGAATTGTGTTCGTTGATGGCTAACACTGCTGTTTTCATCTCCTCCCTCTTGTTTTGGCTTTAAGAATTTAATCCAAAATGCTACTCCCAGAGAGAAAAAGTGACCAAAAAGAATTGAATTTAGCCTAGACAGCCCAGTCTGAAAATATATGACTGTGAAAGCATCGATTAAAACTCAACCCACCTGACTCAAGAGAGCTATACAATATGTGCATTAAGATCAGACATGCTAACTTTCGAGGTACTTGTGAGTTACTTTCCATTGCCTCATGATAGACAGCACTGTTCCAGCACAGTAAATAAGAGTAATCAGAAATAAGCTCACAAGAAGCTTCCCTTTTAATTTTTTCATTACTGGGGATCAGAGGAAAGGCAGAAGGAAGCATTCTGATGATACCAGGGAAAAGACTGTTGCAAGAATAAAATAAATAGCAGTTAACTAAAAACTTGAGTCTGCTTGATTAGGAATCACTAAAAAAAGTAACAAGATTGTGGTACCAGGTCTCAAGCAAAGAGGAGTTGTTTTGCTGATTGTCCCTTGCTGGTCAGACATAGGAGTGCTCCTAACAAGCAGGGAATACTCAATGTGTTTGATGGTGTCTCTGAGCAGACAGAAGTACATCCAGGGTGACAGAAAGAAATATCCTGCAGGGAACTAATCTAGAAAAAGCCAATTTCAGGACAAAGCAACAGCAGTAAGTTGATGTTTATAATATTTAAGTCATCTGTTAAAGGAAATATGATTGTGTGTTGTGTAAAGAGCAGAGTGAGGCCAAGGCTTGCTTCTGTGTGTTTTAGGTAATACAATATGACAAACCACATCAGATCAATGGTGCTGATTAATGAACAGCCCTGGAAAGGTAGCTAACAAGAGATGAAAGGGTCAAGACAGAAATTTCAGGAGGGAGAAGGAGGATCTGGACCATAACTCAGACTATAGAGTTGTGGTCCAGGAGCCCATTAATCATCAGCATTATTATGTAAAGCACCACATTTTCTCCTGACTTTATGCCCATTGCAACTGCACTGAAGTCAGTATAAAAGTGTACATCTTAAATCACAATCTGTAGTACATCACTACTCTCATAAAATGGACCTTCTTTAATAAAAACACTGATACAAATAATGTTCCTCACACCCTCTAAATTACCAGATAAAACTCGGAAAGAGCAAGGTGGAATAAAAGTGAGCATATATAAAATGCCCAAGTTACTATCATTAGTGGGAATATTTAAGTAATAAAGTCTGCATTTCTGGAATGCATTCATGCAGAACATTTATCCTCCAAAATCTTAATTAAGCACACAGTACCCCATGGAACAGAAATATAATGCTTTCCTTTTCTGGATAGAAGAGCCCAGGTACACAGGGGAGAAGTTACTTAACCCAATGTCACACATCCCATTCCTCTGTTGTCCTGCTTGTCTCTCTTTTTGCCCAATCTTCTTATGGTCAAAGATCCTTTCTTCTAATTTTTCCAAAGTCAAATTAAGTCTTTTATAAAATTTGGAATATTTCACTCTCTGTTGCAATACCAGTGACTTAAGAAGTACCATCAGCTTTGTTGATTTTATGTACTTAAAAAGTGCCTAACAACTGCTGAGGATCTCAGTGCTTTATGCTCATCACACTGGAAGAAAGAGAGATATCTTCCCAGGCCATAGCAAAAAACATGGAGAAAAAGGAAGATATTTTAAGTATTGCCTTTCACAGAGATTTTTGAGCCCACATTTTGTCGAAGACTTCCAACAGCCCATCTCTAACAACTTGTCTGCCTGACCCTTGATGGGAAGCCAGATTGAGTGCTAGGCAGTGCTACAAAAGAGAGCCACTTGGATTGGGATCCCAGAGATTGGAAGAGCAATAATGACACAAAAAGAGAGGTGACAAAATATGCAGGATTAGTACATGCAGTTCTTAGGCTTCTCTTGTGTGAAATTAGGAGTGAAGTGAGCAGGAGCTCTGCTGAAGTAAAGACTAAAGACCTGATCCTGTGATTTTTCTGTTCTAGTACAAGTTAAACATGCACATTATCTGAAGTACTAGGCAGTCTCTAAGGCACATGGGATTTATGCCTTAAAAAGGTGAGCAATAGCCAGATAAAAGACAGACTGATGTGTGCAAAGTGGATGTAAGAAGCAAGGTCAGCGTTATCAGAACAGGTGGGGCATATATGAAGGTGGGAAGGAGAGCTTGAAAGTAAGCCATGCTGAGTGTTAGCAAGGACTTAAATCTACAGAATCCTTGGGCATTACTGCACCTTTGAAATTCAATCCTTGGTTCTGGTCAAAAGTGTCACTATTTTATGTAATTATTTCAAACTAACCTGATGTATGTGGTTCTCCTCCCAAACCCTGGTGAAACTCAGAGGTTCAGGCTAAGCTGTATATTTTTTGTGTGTGTGTGTTTGAATTTACTTAATTTGCAATTCAAAGCAGATTCCAAGAGGGAAGAACCTAAAAAAAAAAAAAAAAAAAAAAAACTGGAATCAAAGAAAATGTTTGCTTGAGCCCCTGTAAAATGTAGCTGCCAGATTTCAAATAGCCTGTTGAAATCAGAATTTAGTATATATCCGAGTCACTAAGAAACATCAGCATTACAAAATGTGTGAATTGAACATAAAACTGAATGTATATTTTGTGAAGTACATTATTACAGTGTCATCTAAAATCCCTCATTGTGTCTGTTGGTGCTCATTGGAGTGTTCCTACTGCATGAACAGTGGGGTTTCTTTGTGTTGCTTTATCAGACATAAATTCCAACTCGCACAGTGACATTAGCTACCTGTGAAATAACAATTACATCTCTTACCATTTTTCATTCACCTTCTTGATTTCTTTGATAAAACAAATATCTGCTTCTCTGGTCTGCTCAGAGTAGGCAAGACCATTTTTTCATGGAAGTAACACCAGTGGCTTTACTGTGGACAGGACTGAATATGCTGGTGTGTCAAGAGTTCTTTATGTAAGTGAAGTGAGCAGGATTTAATTCTGTTCCTGGACATCAACTTCAGACATATTCTCAGCATACCCACAGTGAGCCACCAAAGGATAATAAGAAGCTAGCAAAGGAGGAGTTCTCTTAGTTTAGAGAGGGATTCAAGTCCCCCAAAAATGTAAATACTCCCAAAAACTTAGATCTGGATGGTGAAATCACCATCTATTGGAGCAGTGATTTTTCTGTGGATTCCTTCCTATCTCAGTCCATTGGTTCCAACTATCTCTTTAGCTCAGAGGATTTCAGAGATAAAACTGCTGCTGAGCTGAACCTTTCCTGCAAGGCTGGCAATAAGTTACTTCCCTGGTGTCACTGCAGTAGACCAGGTGGCTGATGAGAGAAAAGTGGGGTTTCTGCTTTGATATGAGCCATGCTTTTTGTGATGTAAAGACAGCAAAAGACATGAAGGAGAATTCTTTCCTTCCTTTTCCTGTCTTTCAGTCCTGAGGAAGTGTTTGTTGCTGCTTGAAACAGGACTGGCCTTGTTGTTCTGATGAGATGCATTTGAGTGCCAGGTTTGTGCTAGCTCTCCATCAGTGCTCCATGCCACTGGTGTGAGCAACTTCTCAGAAGGAATCCTGCTGATAGCCCTTTCGTCCCTCTCCTCCTTGCTTCACCGGATTAGGTTGCATGGGCAGACTGGGATAACGGGACTGACTCTGAGGTCATTTGCAGCCAGGGCTGGAGGGATTGAAGTAGGAATTCAGCAATACCTGGCTGCAGCCAGCTGTACTCACAACACAGAATGCCAGTTAGAGTTGTAGCGAGTTTTCTTGCTCTCAGTAAATAATTATTATTTCCCCCTGACCTTTCCTTTTGATTCTTCCTGGTACAGACACAGCCTCTCTCTGTTCCCTGCCCCAATGAACGTCTGCACTAGGTCCAAGGCTTGGAGTAATTTACCTGAAGAGTGATACCATTTGGAAACCACTGTAAGTATATTTTATCTCTTATAAAAGACTTCTTGTTCAGCAAAAAAAAGACATCTTACAAAAACAAAAACAAACTGCAGCACCTGTGAGCCTTACTGATGAGGGTAAACTTAGTTTTGCTTTTGAAATTTGCAAGGAAATATGTGGGCAAAAAGTATGTCAGTAAAAAACTGTTAAATATTTAAGTCATAGCCTCACAGCATAGTTCAGCAATGCCTGGTTTGATCTGCTTGTATTTTTTACTTTGGCAGGTTCTCCCTACTTATTGCTCTAGTTCGTGCTGTTCTAGTTGGTTCATCCATGTTTGTCTTTGCAGTGTTTATCTTCTTTTTTATTCTTATTACTTTTTAATGAGACACCTTTCCTCTCATTGGTGTTTCAGGCAATACAGATGGAATCTACTGCAACTTCTTAAAGGTTTACACTGTTCATTCTGGATCCTGACACATTTATGAATTAAGGCCATTACGATTTGGCTGGATTACATTGTTAAAGTTGCCTGAGAGAATTCTGACTTTGCATTGTGGTTTTATTATGCTCTGAAATGACCACTTGCCTGATATTTGTACTTTATCCCCCATAAATATAATAGTTCTGAATTCTTTTGATCAATTGTCAGTAATTGTCAGTATTGTCACAGTGTTAGCATAGCTGAGATACTCTGATGTTACAAGTCAGGCAAGCTCTGGACCCAACTCTCATGAGACTTGTCGTTTAGATAGATTAAATGGACAAATTTTGGGCCATATAAACCCTACCTCAGGCCTGAAAAGGACCCAGCAAATTTCAATCTTACTTTAACTTAATCTCTGAGTTTAATTTAATTATGTTAATCAGTCTCCTGTAAGGGATTTTCAAGTTTATTTTACTTTTCTGTGTTGATTAAATTTTCCAGGCTTTTATTGCACTAGAACATTGGGTCTCTCTTGTCAGTTCTCTGTGCCTCCCATTCTTGCTTTGCAGTGTTCTGCTGGGATTTCTCTTTCATATTACATTTTATGGCGATGTTTTCAGAAGTTTGTGTTTTCCATTGCATGACACAAACTTGCAGTCAGAGATTTTAAACAAACTGCCAGTCATGTAGCTGCAACAGCATGAAGATCAATGTGGCTGCAAAATTATCAGAGAAGCTGTGTGAATATTCAGGCAGTCAGCCTGTGCAGGACTTTTAACTACTAAAGCAACACTTCTGGCAGGAAAACTGTGATGGCTCAGGTGATTTAAAGGGAGCTTGTCTTGGGAAACTTCACCCTCAGCTGTGGCACTCAGTGTGCCCTGAATTTTGGGGTGAGGTCTCTGAGCACTTTTTAGTGGGTTTTTGTTGTTCTTTCAGGCCTATTTTTTTTTATATTCAGTGATTGTACTCATCTCTCTCTCTTTACTTTGTCAGTTTCTAAATATGTATTGTCAATGTCATGTCTGGAAGAGACACAACACTGGCAGTGATAAGCACTGATATCAGGAGCTGTGTTAGTCGCACACAGGCAGAGGAAGAATGTGCAGCAGAACACTCAGGGAAAATATTGCTTAAAATCAGACGTGAACTATTTTCACACTCTTATTTTTAGGATTTGAAAAGCTGGAGGTTTTGGTTTTTGTTGGGTTTTTTTTGTTGTTGGTTTTTTTTCAATTCTATACAGCCCCAGTGAATTACTAAGGTTAAAAACTAACTGTGCACCAGTGAGTTAAGTGCAGTGCTTGGACACTACAGGCATCTCTGACCTGAGGGCACTTAGTATAAGGTGATGCCATAGCTGTGAAGAGGTGAAATAATGCCTAGAACATGGGTGGGCAGACTAAGCCAGCAGCAGCACTTACAACAACATCAGCAACCTTGTGGCATGTTCCCTCTGTGCTGCTTAATATGCGACGAACAAAGGTCTGGTTGGTGACCCAGCCCTCCCTGTATTCACAGGCTGAAAACTGCCTCATTATTGTTCATTATGTAGTATTATTCTCATGCAGTCACATTATCATAGCTTCCCCTGAGAGCCAGGATGCTGCTGTGGGCTCTGCACAGCTACATCAGTTCCTATACCTGAGCTAATTTGTTCAGTGCTAACCTGATGTCTCTGCAGGACACAGAGATATTCCCCTTGTAAGGGAAGGTTCAAGCATTAGTTATAGCTGCTGTGTGAGAAGTACAACATACACTGTCTATTTTTGACAGGGACCTGGTTTGCTGGCCCCACTGTGAGAATGTGTTAAGTCATCCAGGGGAAATTCATTCCAAACTCAAGTAATGGTTGCAAGGGAGGTACATGCGATGAAATCAACTGTGGAGAGCAAGTGGAGGGTTGAGGGAGAGAAAGTTGTATGCAAGAGTGGCAGCAAGAAAGGGGAAGTGTGGCAGGGGTTTTAAAGGCATTCCAAAGCTCAGAGGTAGTAATTAGTTTCTAGATAGCTTTGAGGTTAGGACATCCAAAATATTACCCATTCTGTCTTCAAATGAAACAGAAATGAGCCAATTCTGGTTTACAGCCAGTGCCCAGATCATTGCAGCCGCTGCATCATTTTAAGTTGGCCACCATTTCAGATCTTGTTCTGTGATAATGCAGTGTTAAGGTACATGGAAAGGAGCAAATGCCTCAGTGCAATGAGGATGCTTACAGAAAACAGAAATAAAATGATGGCAGTGATGGTACCTTTGCTTTACATATAAGCTGGCAAGTACTGATACACAGTTCAGTTCAGGAAAGACACAGGAGGCAGTTAGCCTACTGTTAGGTACTGGAGAGCATACACTGAAGAAAGAAGATAATATATTTTAAGTGGTGAAAATTAACATAACAAAAAACCCCACAATAAATATAAGGGAATGCCAGAAATGTATACCAACAAAAGGAAAGTACATGGACAAAGGATAAAAAATTTAAAGTGATAGAGTAGGTAGAAAGTTTAGAAATAAACTGGATAAATCTCTTGTAAATCAGTAGCAAATATAAATTCTGCAGGGACCCTCTAAATTTTGAAAGTCAGTATATTTTCTGTTCCTAGCTTATGGGATTCTGGGCAGCAAGTGCATGTACCAAAGTGCTATCTCTTTGCTGTATTGCCCTTCTGCCATTCTTCACAAGGAGCAAGGATGATGATGGCCCTCTGATAATGTTAAGAATGAGTTCAGTATTGGAAAGTACTTGGAATGCACCTACAGAAGGAGATAACCAGAGATCAGAACGGAGCCCCTTGGTCCAAGAGCACATTCCCAAGTCTTTTGCATTCCAAACATGGCAATTATTGCCCTTACTAACAAGTAAATAGCAAACACCTCTTTTCCAAGATCAGTATATAGAGAACACAGTCATAAGAACTAGAGCAGCAAGGTAGACTAACCCTTACTACAGAAATAATCACATAGGATTGCAAATCAATGAAGTCCAGAGATGGGACATTAATAGGAGTAATTTGAGAAGGTTCCACACCACAAACAATATTTATTATGTGTTTCTTTCTTGCTCCTACCCTTGTTCTTTCAGGGTTTTTGACATTGCTATAACAATACAGAGTTTTCCGAAGTTAGTGTGTCATTTTTACCTTCTGGACCATAGAGATATATTAGAGAGCTTGCTGATGGAAGTGTTCATAGAAGTAGTGTGCAATCCGAAAAAAAATTAGGTTGGAAGGGTCCTCTGGAGGTCTGTAGTTCAATTCCCTGCTCAGAGCGGAGCTGACTTCCAAGCTGGATTAGGTTATTCAGGGCCTTGTTCAATTAAGTTTGGAAAATCTCCAAGGATGGAGATGCCATAACCTGATTGAGTACTTAACAACTCTCCCTGTGAAGACTTAGAGCAAAAAGATAGCAATAGAAGTAGACTATATAAGAGAATGTAAGAATACTTAATTAGAATATATAGGTGACAATCATGGCAATAGGAGCTTTCTGTATGGGTGATAAGGTAGAACAAAAGAATAGCAATATACTTACAATAACAGCAGGATTGCTGTGGCTTTGCCTTTGCTGGCAGCAGTAGTGGGACATTGCAGACTGGAAAGCTTTGGGTTTCTTCATAGGTAGTTTTGATCACAGTGTCCCCAGAATTTTTCTTTTCTGAAAAGCTTTCTTTAGATCCTTAGCTGACTTTGCTGATTCCTTAGCTTCTCTCCTGTGAAAGCCTACATGCTTTTCAGGGGGTAGTGACATACAGCCCATGTCTGAACAGTGAGAGAAATTAACTCCTGAGGAGAGGTGTCATCTCCAGTGCCAGTCAGCACCACTGTTATATTCTTACCACCCTAGTGAGCAAAAGTCACCAAGCTGCAGGACTGCAATGCAGAAAAATGATGACAGAAGAGCATCTTGATAACACAGTGTCAGCCTTAGGAGCAAAGTAGAAAATATATGGGTTTGGATAGGAAGAAGCAGGGGATGCTTTGCAGAGCCTTCTTGGTGTTGCTATAGTGTTTTTTAACATGTCCCCCTAATGAGTTTTGAAGGCCTGGCAGGCACAGGCATGATCAGCCACGGGATGAAACATCCGTCATTGCTTGGTCTAACAACAAAACTATGGCTGTGCTAGTCGACTGACAAGTTTTGTTTACTCAGACTAAGCCCCCACTCTGCAAATATCAGCAGTCTCCTGCCCAGGGTAGGCGGCTTTGTGTGTGGATAGACCTGGAGTCAGAGGCTATATTCCAAGCATATAACTTGGCCTAACTCTGAGCTGAAAACAGACCTTAAATACAGCAGTTCAGCTCCTGGGTACAAGCAACTTCATTGCCATGTGCATCCAGAGTCCAAGCCTACATGTAGCCTTTGTTCCCTGGCCAAAAAGGTGTGCTATCTGAAAGTTGCTTGGGTAGCAATGCTGTAAAAACCCACTGGTTTATGCACAGATTTCCTGCATTTTCCAGTGCATGCTGGCTGCACATGGGAATGTCCTGGGTTCTGGAAATGAGGTGTGAAGGCGTGCCAGAGTTCATTCGGATCATGCCAAAGATCCATGTCGGCTCTCACAAACAAAACATATGCAGTCCATGTACTTAAAAATATATTTACAAGCCCATGTACAAGCTATAGTTTACAGCAGCAACATCATCCACCCATCCCGTGGTGTGGAGATTGTACTCCTGGTAATCCAAAAGGCACCAGGGCTGCCACAAGCCGCGGGGTTATCAGTGTGACCCCCTCGCTGGCGTGGTTCACCTGCAGAGCTCAGCTCAGCTCCCCGGCCGCACCCCGAAGCCCGGGCCAGCTGCCACGGGGCGCTTCTTGCTGCCCCTCGGCCGATCCAAGGCATCCCTTCCACGCCCACTACCTCCTGGGGGAGCTTTGTGGGAGGAAGGGTGGAGAAAGATTTGTTTCCTTTCTTTCTGGCCCGTTTAACTTATATTTTTATTCTTATTTTCTTCCCCGCTCCGCGGGCCGGGCCGGGCCGGGCCGTGCGGGTGCTGCCTCCCGGCGGCCGCCGCAAGCAGTGGCGGCGGGTCGGGCCCTGCCCCCGGCCGGGCGTGCCGCCGTTATATAAGGCCTTTATGTAAGGGCCGGCCCGCTCTGCCCCTCCTCGCCTCCCGCCGCTTGGGCGCTCTCCGCGCCGGACGGTCGCGTTAAGAATGGAGAGGCTGGTGCAACCTTCAAACCCCGGCCCGGCTGGGACGCAGGAGGGCAAAGGCGCGCCGGGAGAAGGGGCTCCCGCCCTGGCCCTCCGTGAGGCCTGTGGAAAGGGCTCTGCCGGCAGGCGGGACGTGCTCCCGGGGTGCCCCGGCACTGCTCGGGGGTCGGCAGGCGATGACAGGTTCCAGCGGCACGGCTCCAGCCTGCCCGGCTCCTGCTGCTCTCCTGCGAGTGCCCACGGTTCTCCCTCCAGCATGCGGCGGCAGCAGCCGATGCTTGCCCGCTGCCCCAGCTGCATCCCGGGCCGCGGCAGCACTGTCCCCTCCGGAGGCTGCATCCCGAGCTGGCGGCGCGGCTCCCTGGCTCGGGGAGCACCGAGGGAGCACCTGCACCTCTGTGGCGGAGGGGGAACAGTGAGACGCGTGCTCGCTGCCCTGTTCGGCGTGCTCGCTGTGTGATTCAAAACCTGCCGCTTCGCCTGGTGCCTCGCCTTCTCCAGCCGTGAAGCTAAGGTGGTGGCTGACTACCTGCTTGATGTACCACTGAGGCTTAATTCCTTGGAGGTTCTGGATGGAGGGAGGTGTTGAGTGCTCAATGCTCATAGACAGTTGTTTCAGGTTCCAAGTCTTAATGCTTTACTTAGACGACCTCTGCACCTCAAAATTGCCTCCTCACAATGCAAGTCTCTGCACTGATTAGTTTTGAACTTGAAACTTGCATATTTGTTTGCTTTTCAGACAATTATATTATATTTCTGTATAGCTGTCTATTCAGAATACTACAGCCTTGGTTAATATTTGTCAAGCGGCACCCTGTCTAAACTACTGGGACGAGTTTTATTTTATATGTCATCAGTAGGGGCAGAATAAGGAGCTTCGTGCTTGGCCTATTTGCTGTAACACAGTCTCAGGGCCCTTGCATCAGTCAAAACAAGGAGCAGCTTGTTTCCAAACAACTATGGAGGAAAGTCTTCTCTGCGTCCTTCCCTGTAAGGGAAAAGAGAGGCGAGAGGGGGGTGGTGGTGGGGGAAGAAAGTTATCTTTAACAGATTCTAAAAATGCCTTTTCCCAAGTATGCAGTCAGTCTCTTCAAAGGTCTCTTTGTTTATTTTCAGGAAGAAACCCAAGACAGCTGAAAACCAGAAGGCGTCTGAGGAGAATGAGATTACTCAGACGGGTGCATGCAGCGCCAAGCCGGGCCTTCCCTGCCTGAACCTTGAAGCTGTTCCTTCTCTGAACCTGGCCCTAATCCACTTTCCACATTCACCGACAAACCTGCACGCACACACAGGGTCATCTGATTGTGAGTACACCAACATGCTGCTGGGGTTCTTAAAAACACCTCCCTTACTGTGCACCAGGTTTTCTAGTTGGATGCTCTTCCCGTAATGTCATAAAAAGGACCTCCTCAGGGCTTACCTTCTCCTTTCTTTGGGAATTACATCTAAAGCAGGACATTTTTGTGGTAAGGTTGTGATAATGCCATCAGCCAGAAAAAGCTGAGAGTGTGTTGTTAGGTCAGGATGCTGCTTATTACAAAGTAAAAAGGGAAGACCCCTCAAGCATGTCCCTGTCCGACTAGAGCTGTTGCTCCTCTCCAGGTAGTCACAAGCTTCTCATTACCCAACCATATCTCCTGACTGAGGCGTTTCGGTTTGTGCTGAAAACATGTGCCCAGCTCTGCAGCCCAGGACTGTAAAGTTTCCACAAAGAAAGGGGAGTGTTTTGTGGAGAGGATCAGTCTGTGAGAGTCTGGAAAATCTTTGTAGACCTATGTGGTTGTACCAGCTCTAAGGCCCTTGTTTTGAGGGCATTCGCTTTCAGATTACTCAGCATGGGTTATTGCCCTTTAGAAAATGTTCTTCTCCATTTTGCCAAAAAATGCAAAAATAAGGGAGGGGAGTATTAAAACTGGACTTTGGAAAGTCACCTGACCTTGCCAGCTCTTCAAAACATTGTCATTTCACACATGTCCTTGCCTGGAAGTCTCTTGGGCAAGAATGTGCAGGGTAATGTGGCTTTCATTACTCACTAGTTTTAGAATGTATAGTTTACCTCTTCTGCAGTGTTTTTAGAATGTAAATTTACAACAGGGAGGGAAAAAGGAGAAGATGATGACACCAGGTTTCAACATCTTGGAAGCCAACCAGACTTTGCAAAAGCCAGTAAAAAAATTCAGGGCATGACAATAAAAAATCAGATTAAAAAGTATATGTATTCTTTCCTTTCTTTAATTTAAAAATCCTGCCTCAGGGCCAAGCTTGGAAGCAGTCGGGTTATAGGGATCATCACTATCAAAATCACTTTAGCTGCAATTCATTCCTGTTGGCTTCTGACTTTATTCATTATGAGCTTCTGCCAGAGATCTTGATTTTAATAGAGCTGGTAAACATTGGGGAGACTTTCCTAAATCTCACCTGGTGATCTGGGGAGAAGAAAGAGCTGTGAAACAACTGAACAGCAGGCAGCATGCAATTTAGTATATCCAAGAATTCTTTTCAAATTGGAGATGTCAGGCTCTTTGTTAAAACTGGGGTGCAGTTTGTCTTGTAATATTTTCTGAAAACAAAAAGCTTGTGAAAAGATGCAAAAAATGAGCAGAACAACAAGAAAAAAATAATCCTTATTTTCAAACAAAGAATCCCTTTATCCCATTCACAAAGATGAAAGAGTTCATTAGTAAATGGGATTTGAAACCTCACACTGATTTTTTTGACAGTACAAATGGAAACCCATGAAAGCAATCTTAGGACAGAGGCCAGCAGGGATTGTAGGGAACTTGGAGAATGAGCTCCTGCTTTTGCTTTCTGAGGTGGCCAAGTTCAGGGTGAGGAATATTGGCAGAGGGCAGCAGGGGAAGGTGGAGCCTGAAGCTCGTCATGCTCTACCTGTTCTGTGCACAGGGTCTTTTAGACCCTTAAGTTTTTTGTGTCCCCAAGTCACCTTTCAGGTGATGGCCTATTCCAACCTAAACAATTGCACTATTCTGTAAATAGAAGTAAACTGCCAGCCCAGGTTAGATGCTCCTTTCACACTGTAAGTGTGGGGGATTTTTTTCAGAAGATGGGTTTAGCAAATAGCAATTTCAGCATTAACATTGTCCTGTCTTGTGAATTGTTGAAATTTAGTTCCCAAAATATATCTGGAGTCCTGCAAAAATTCAGGAAATAGTAAGACCTCTTGTGGTATTGATCTCTCTTAGCTGATTGAGTGTACTTGGAAAGCAATAGAAAATCTCTCAGTTATGTATGATGGGTTATGACCTTTATCAGGCTGTATTTGTTAGGGGTGGTATGCATATAATTAGTGTTTGGTATGCCCTTGCAAAACAGAAAGAACCCACATGAACTGAAATGAGGCACGATTAATATTTGCTGCATATTTACTGTAGCTTTCTACCATGTTTAGTGGTATTCTTTTTTAATATTGCCTCAATCCTTAGTGCTGGAATGTTCATGCACACAAAAGATTGATTTTTGTGGCTCCCAACATTAAAAATGGGTTTCCCTGCAGTTACAAATGCTTTCTCCGTACCTCTGATGTGACCTGTCTTTTGCATTGACTCTTTCTCCTCACTCCAGAATCTTTTTCGTTGTCCTTCTCTTCCTCTCCCCTCTGAGCTACATTGCCACATCTTTCTTCCTCTCAACTTTTGGACCCATGGTGATGCTCTTCTTCTTTGGGCCAGCAAGACTTTCTGTCCTTCCCTCTACCTTTAGACAACACAACACTGCTTTTCTTCCCTTGCCCAGACCATCCTACTGCCTGTACAGCCACAGCTGGGCAGACACTTCATTTTCAAAGGACATTCTTCATTCTGCTGGGGGATTTTCTAGTGGATGGCAAATAATACAAAAATACTTTCGTTCTAAAATTAGACTGAATGTTTGGGAGGAATTTTCTCTGAAAATACCAGAAGCACCCAGAAAAAGTCAGCATGGTAGTTTCCCAATTCTTGGGAAAATGCACAGATGTACAGATGGTTTCATAAGGCCTCATTTATGTATCTGGGAAAAAAAAGGCTTGGATTTTATGGACCACCTATTCAAATCTTCACTGACCATTTTGCATTCACAGTCACTAGTGCTTGGCAGAAAACAACACCACATTTATTATCACAAGAAATGTTCAGAAACCAATCTACTTTAAAATATCAGGGTGCTTTTGGAATGATTCAGATCTTTTTTTTTTTCCAAGCAAAGGAAATAAAAACTCCGTGATAGCCATCTGCTCCTCAGCTGTAAAAGGCAGAGGTGAAGAAAGCCTAAAGCAATAGTCTGAATGCCAGTCTTACTGATATGAATACTTAATAAAAAAAAAACCTGGGTAAAGGCATATGTGATGCACAACATAATTTAGAGTTTCATTCTGTAGCATAGTATATTCTACATGCTGCTTCTGGTGCCACTTATTTCTAGTGAAATTGCATTATTCCTCAGATTTGTAGGTCTAGGTCCTAGATTTCTGGGTTTGAACACAGTTTCCAGCACAGATGAATCCTTGAAGCTAAATCCAGAACACAGGATGCACCGTGTCCAGTCCCATCTCTTTTAGTCTTGGGAAATGCAATACAGTTGGAGAAACAAGTCGGAGGAAGAAGTGCTTCCTGAGGTAACTATTTTCATGGAGGGCTTAGCAGATGAAAAACACCACTTTGAATTAATTTGGAATTAAGTGATAGAGTCAGCTGATAGAACTCCAGCTGAGTTATACATCTAGCTACTCAGCTGTCACAAACAGATCTATATGCTTACCCAGAAGAAAGGTGCTTAAGCAAGGACAAGCACAAGTTACGGAAAGGTTATAAAAAAGCAAAGGAAAGCAATGAGATTTGTTCTATTCACTTTTTTTCCACGTATTTCCTTGCTTATGGATAGAGAATGCATAAAGTGCATAATAAGGTTGTAGTTCAAAGGCTGAACAGCCTCAGGTAAAGTTTCTAAAGATTTCGGTGAGAGGAAGAAGGTCATCAGGACCTGGCTGTATTTAAATTGGTTTGGTCTGCATAGGCAACTTGCTTCAGGAGTCTGTCAGAAAGCATCTATAACTGTATAAGTTTTGCAAGTCTGCCAAGAGATAAGATCATTTTGGCAGAAACTTTCACGAATTCTCAAAGATACAATCAGACAAAAACTTCATTCAGGCTCTGATGTATGCATCTTAACAGATGTGTCCAAACTCAAAGGAATCCTAGGGGAATAGTGCAACGGAATCTCTTTGTCTCTATTGATAGTTAAAAGAGTTATTCTTAGACATTGGATGGTCCATCTGTGAAGGAATTTGTTCCAGACAAGACAAAAGCAACATCTTTGCAAAGAGTTTCCACGAGACTGAGAGGCAGGTTGGAGAATCACTGGAAAAACTTCTGAAGCAGTATTTATGATTTTAGTGAACACAGAATTCTTGCAGAGACCTGAGATTCTGGTAAGGGATGAGTTGAGAAGAAAAGTAAGGTGTGAATATTTTTTTAAAATCTGTTAAACAATCATTGGCAGGTTTTTGAAACAAGGGAGGACTTTCTAAAGTTGTGTTTTAGCAAGGGATGGTGGTGTTTTTTTGCATTAAATAGAATGCACTTTATAAACAGTGTCTGTGATAGACCACATCTGAACGCTTTGCCCCTACATGCTCAAGTACCATGGCTGACTTGGTCCAATTCCAGCATTTTTCTGCTTTCACAGGATAGGAACTTTGAAGCAGAGTATTTGCTTTTTTTTCCTTCTCAGTACTGATTTTTGTAGCTTCTTAGCCTTCCAGCATGACAGGAAAAGACAGAGTGAGAACCTCACAAGATTCCTGAACTCCACAAAGCATTGAGAGTGAGCAGCTAGAGGGACCCACCATTCCCTTCCCATGAATCTGCCAGTTTGATTTGCCTGGGGCTAGTATAGAGACTGGGTAGATCTAAAGGTGGTTTGGCCTCATCTTTACTTTTTAGGTTTCCTCTGTTTCTCTTTGAGGTTCTGTGGCAGGAAGAGAATGGTTACATGCCCTGATGGCCTTCCCTCTCTCTCGAAATTTGTGACTTTGATTCCCTAGGAACTGCTCTGGAGCTTTCAAATAGTCTTCACTCTCAATGAAGACAGGAGGCCCCTGATTCTACCAGCTTCCTTGTTTAGAGAGTCAGGCAGTATGTCAATAGTCATTTCAGCTGAATTTTTGCTAATCTATTTATGGCATGTCTTAGCTAATGCTGAATATTTTTTGGTTGTTTTTCATGACCTAAGAAATTATGTATGTTTAGATATGTATTTTAGATTCTATAATAATAATGATACAGGCCTTTTCTGTAGAAAGCTAAAC